TCAGTCCCTGCAGACACACGAGCTGCTGATCGTCCTGCCGGCCGGTCTAGTCTCTCTGTGCCCTCCTGAGCCCCCCTGCGAGGCTGCGTCACCAGGGGTCGGCCCAGAGCGTTGCACCCCGAGGGATCGATCGCCCCGGCTTCACCCAATTGGTCTCTGCCCTGAACCCCGGTTTCAGCAGCAGTTCGATAGAGACCCTCCTCCAGATTGGAGCGCCTTTCCTGGCCGAGGAGCTTCGCTCGCGCCTCAGGACCCCAGAGGGCGCCCCCGGGCTGGTGGGGATCGGGGTCAGGCCGGCCGGGGCTGTGCGGCACGCGGCTGGAAACCCCTCCGGACAGGCCCCCATTGGAGCGGTGGCCTTTGTCACTTTGCACACCACGTGGTAACCTAGTTTAGGGGCCCCATTTCCCCACAAAGGGCAGGTGGTTGCGACCCACCCTGGACCTGTTCATGCCCTCCCCACCTCGGCATGGTCCCAGGTGCTGGGGGTTGCTGCTTGGAGAGACTAGCAGCAGCAGCTGTGTGGCTAGGGCCAGACGGATCCCGTAGCCAAGCGGCTCAGAGGTCCTGGGACTAACCCGGGGGCTCAGGGCAGTGCGGGGGGTTTAGCTGCTTGGCTCCCGTCCATAATAATCAGGTGACAGTCCCCTAAATCTCAGCCATCTTCTCCCTCTTGCCATGGCTTCTTGTGGCCGCCTGCTCTGTGCCCCTCGCCACGGACTCCTGCGTGTATCTGACTCCTCCTCCTGCGGCCGGGGGCGGGGCTTGTGACTAATGGACGGGTACCTCTCTTGCAGGGCTCCCTGGTGTCCCGAGAAGCCAGCGACAAGGAGAAGGTAGCTGAGGATGTGGGGGGAGGGGGGTCTCTGACCCATGGATATCTCCTAGCTTGTTCTGGTGGGCGACAGCGCCCGGCCTCCAGGAGAGCAAGCAGGGGGCCTGAGTCCCTGACTGACGGGCATCGCTGCCCCCAGTGGGATGGGCAGGGGTGGTGACCCCATCGGAGGCTGCTCCAGTAGGCCTGGCGGGCGTCTCCCGTGGCCGTCGGGTGTCCTCAGGCTGCCGCCGTGGTAGGGGTGCCTTGCTTCCCTTTCTGCAGATGCTCCTCAAAGCATCTGAAAACTAGGCCCCTCCTCGAGGGCTGGCTTGGTATCCGGGCCCTGCCCGCTGGGGCAGACCTGGGGCGAAGCTGCCAGCTTTCCATGCCTGGAGGTTGGGCCGACTACCCTGGGACTCCAGCCTTCCGGGATCCACCTCGCTGCTCACACAGCCGCCTCCTGGTGGGGCCGCCCCACGCCGAATGGGAGCTGGCGCGAGCAGCGAGGTGCAGGGGGGTGGCAGCTGTCGGGGATGCGGCCCTGTGCTTCCGTTTAGGGAAGGGGCTTGGGTTTGCCCTCAGAGGTCCCTGGGGCTGGGCAGCAGGCTGGGGGCAGCGGGAAGCTATGGGGTATCCTGTGCCCAACTTAGGGGGATCTTGGTTAACTGGGACCTGCTGACTCCATGGGAAGAGGTGGGCTCAGTCCCCTCAGGGTGTGGGGAGGGGAGCCGCTGTCTTATCCCCCCACCCCAGGGAGCTGGAGTGTAGGATGGGCCTCTGATCTCTGACGTGGTGCCACTGCTGGGACGGGCCAGCAAGTGGGTTTGACGGGGCATCCCTGGCGGTGGGGGGAGCCAGGCTGGGCTCAGGCTGGGATCCCCTGGCCGGACAGAGCGTGCCGGGGAGCGGCCCAGCCCCCTTCGAAAGGCAGCTCGAGCTGGCGAGGAATCAGCCACTGTTAAATCCTGGACTGAAGCACCGGGCATGGGGAGCGGTTCTCAGCCCTGCACGGCCACCCCTCTGCACGCTGCCCTCCGGGGAGGGGGTGCCCAAGGCAACAGCCCTCTCCCCCAGCACAGGCCTCGGTGGGCTCCGTGCAGAGCGCTGCGGGCCCTGGGGTCGCCTTGCCAGCGCTCTCCAGCTGCGGCTAGCTCTGGGGGCACTGATGCGAAGGGGCAGCAAGGCCGGTTCATGGGCAGGAGAGGGGATGAGCTGATGCCAGGCCCGGCCAGAGGCTCGCTCTGTCTGGCGGGGGCCTGGGATTAACTAACCAGCCGCGGCGCCAAACAAGCCACGGCGAGATGCAGCTGGGGCTCTGCCGGCCGCCTCGCCCCGTTTGGGGGGGAAATGACCCGAGTTAGCCGGATAATCCTGATCTCGTTAGTGGCCTCGCCTGCCCTAAAGCCCGAGGGTGGCGTCAGCATCCAGTTAACGAGATTTGAGGGCCGCGAGATGATGGCGCGGGAGGGTTGATTGGATTGGAGCTCTCGGCTCAGCGGCCGGGGGAATCCTGCCAGGGTGAGGGGCCAGCCGCCAACACCTGTTGAGTCTTTCCTCTAGGGGGGAGCGGCTCCCTGACGGCCGGGCTGTTGTCGCCAGTTTCTCCTGCCTTTGGCACGGGCGCCATGGCCCTGTCACCCCGTGAGCCCCGGAACCGTCCCAGGAGGGGCAGCCCCAGGTCTGACGGGGCCTCTTGTTAAAGGGGCCGTGGGCGGCGAGGGGGTTTCCCGGGGCGACTCCGTGAGCTGGGCTGCTCTGCAGGTCGTCCCTCGGGGCGTGGCCCCACAGGTGTGAGGCTGCTTCCGCCTGGGGACCCCCTCCTCCTTGGACCACTAACCGTGTCTGGTTCCTTCCAGGTCAAGGAGCTGCCCACGCTGAAAGACATGGACTTCCTGCACATGAGCCAGAAGGTGTACGTGGACGAGGGGCAGAAGGGTGACTTCATGGAGAAGCTGAAGAGGGATGTGGAGGTAGGGCAGGTGCCTCTGGCCCCTGGTGGGGCGGGGCGCGGGCACGGCTGACTTCCACGCCGAGGTGGCAGCTGGGATCGGTTGCGGGCACCGCCTGCAGGAGGGTGCTTGGGGGCGTCTAACCTTCCCGAAACAGCTCGTCCTCCCTGAGCCGATCGGCCCAGACCTGCCCTGGGCAGCCTGTCGAGCACGGCTTGTCTAGCAACCAAAACCGGCTACCAGGCTCTGCCGGACCCCTCGAGGCGCACTGCCGCTGCCGGCAGGGACTGAAACCTGTGGCAGAGTGGTTGGGGGTATCAGCCATGGGAAGGAAGGGCACTGCCTTGGGAGGCTTGGTGCCCCACTCCATGTCTCCTTCCCTTCGCTGGCCGCTTGGGGCAATAGCCCCTCCTTGCCCAGCCAAGAACCCAGAGCCCTGCCTGTGCCAGGTGATACGTTCCAGGGAGAGCCACGCAAAGGAGGGGCGGCAGGGCTGCTTTGCCAGGGGCACAGGCTGTTGGCGCTGGCTGGCACCCAGGCCCTGGCACTGCTGGGTCTCCCGCGCCCACAGTAGCAGGTCCCTCGCGGCTCCGCTGACGTTCTCAGCTCTGTGTGTGTGTGGGGGGGGGGTCCCCAAACGTCCCTGCGGCCCAACAGCTCCGGAGAACTGCATTGTGGGCCATGTCTAGCGCCTCTCCCTGGAGCGCGGTGCGGCCCTATGCAGTCGGGGGTCTCCCCTCCCTGCAGATCGGGGCAGGGCAACAGCCCCTTAGAGCGGGCCAAAGCAGGGTCCTGCTCTAACCATTAGGTAACATGGCCTGAGTGGGAGCAGCGGTGGCTTCTAAGGAGCCCCCTGGGTGGGAATGGAGCCTTTCACTGCTGCCCCGGCTCACCCCCTGCCCGCTGCACCCCTAGTTCCTGGTCCAGCTAAAGATCATGGATTATAGCCTGCTGTTGGGCATCCATGACGTGCTCCGGGCCGAGCAGGAGGAGGACGAGGATCTGAAGGAGGAGGAAGAGGAGGGGGAAGACGTCCTGGCTGTGGGCTCCTACGGGACATCCCCCGAGGGGATCGGCGGCTACCTGAACTCCTACAAGCCGCTGAGCCCCGGGGAGTTTGACCCCTACGTCGACGTGTACGCCATCAAGAGCGCGGAAGGTGAGTGGGGCTGGCAGTGCCACGCCGGGGGGCGGGGGGCTGGTAGCTTTGTTCCTTCCTCGCTGGCTGGCCCAAAAGGTGTTCAAAGGATGGGAGCCCCCGGCCCTCGCGTTCGGGGCTGGATTTTCCCCCAAAGCCTCAAAAACAGGGCCCCACCCATGGGCGCTGGCCCGGAGCGCCCTGTGTGGCCGGTGGGTCGCACAGCCCTTTGCGGCAGCCTCAGGGATGGGGCCGGCCGTGGAGCTCGCCGAGAGTGGCAGGCCGCGGATCCACTGCGCCTGCGGCTGGACCCCTGGTCAGGGAGCTAGTGGGCGGGGAAGGGTCCGTTGAAGGTCTGGGAGCCGGGTTAAGCCGGGGTATGGCCTTTCCCCCAGGCGGGCCCCAGCCGGAGGTGTACTTCATGGGCCTCATCGACATCCTCACGCAGTACGACGCCAAGAAGAAGGCCGCGCACGCCGCCAAGACCGTCAAGCACGGGGTGAGTCCCGCTCGCGTCCGGGGCGGGGGGACGGAGCCGCCTGGCCACATGGGGGGCCTGCCGGGGAAGGGAGGACGGCAGCTGGAGCTGCGCGCGCCCCGCTTGAATTAGGCTCATTAAACACAGCCGGGCTTACTGGGCTGCGGGACAGTAGCAA